GTGTGTGTGTGTGTGTGTGTGTGTGTGTGTGTGTGTACACGAGGGCGCATGTGACGGCAGGGGTCTGTAGATGGCACTCCCCTCCCACTGACCCTCTCTCGCCTGGGGCCCTTTGAAGTAGGCAGCTGGGGCAGGGGTTGCTGGACCTGCTTTGACCTAAAGCTGCAGGGTCTGGCCCCAGGCAGGGACAGCTCCGTGGGCTTCTGGACAGCTCCAGAGGCGAGTAGAGCTCAAGGCACTGCAGTATGGAGTCATGGGCCTCCTGCCACCGGCAGGACCAGAACCTAGGACAGGGAGGGGATCATGGCTTGTAGGAGACTGTGAAATAATTTTTGAATACTTTTTTTTCTTTTAACTTGTAAAATATAAAAGTAATTAATGATCTGCGTTTACATACCGAATGTTTGAGAGCAACTAGAGGATCTGATCTACCTGCAACTGCTAGTCTGCAAAGGACCCTGGTCATGATCTTCATACCCAGCTCTGGTCCCCAGCTGCTTCCCAAGGTTATATAAAGGATTACTGACCCCACTCCCCCAGCTTACAGAACTGGAGAGCATAGTGAGTTTGGAGCCAGGTCACCTGGAGGCTTATAACAGACTTCATATTCAGTTTTTCTTTCAGTATTTTTATTTCCCTATTTTCCTTTTTCTTCCTGTCTCTCTCTCCTTTCTTTCATTTATTTTTTCTGTTTTTAGAGTTGAACTTTTGATTCTTTACTATGGAGGGTTGTGGTTAAATGTGTATGTGACCTTTCCTACTATATTCATTACTCAAATTTTTAGGAGGCTTATAACAGACTTCATATTCAGTTTTTCTTTCAGTATTTTTATTTCCCTATTTTCCTTTTTCTTCCTGTCTCTCTCTCCTTTCTTTCATTTATTTTTTCTGTTTTTAGAGTTGAACTTTTGATTCTTTACTATGGAGGGTTGTGGTTAAATGTGTATGTGACCTTTCCTACTATATTCATTACTCAAATTTTTAGTTAAATGGACTGGTGAACTGAAGGAATGACCCTGAGTGTTGGGACTCCTGGTGAGGAGGAAGAGTACGCTTGGTGATAGGAAGCAGCTCGAATGGTCATTGAGCCACAGGGTAGGTGATCCTAATGGACCTGACTGGCCATGTCCACACAGTTTGTCCTTGTTAACTGCAGCTGTTCTGACTGTCTTACATTTTTCTTGTTTACTTAATTCTTTCCCCAGGACCTTTGCACACGCTATTCTTTTGTTTGAGGCGCTTTCCCCCAGATGACTCATCGCTTGTTTCCTTCTGTCTTCTTTGCTCAATTGCTAGCTTTATAAGGCCTTCCCTGATAACTGTATTTAAATTACCAGCCAAGCCTCCCTTGGTCCTCTTGTGTTACCAATTTTTCCCTCTGAGTACTTATCACCCTTGGACATTCTATTTTCACTTTTATTTCATTATTGTCTCTCCCATTAGAATGGAAGTTCCAGAAGGCTGATGATTTGTTCACAGTTCCAGAATCTAGATTAACTCCTAGCACAGGGTGGCGATATGCTCAGTAAATATTTTGTTGGCTGATTGAAGGAGAGTGCTCAGGTTGATAGAGGCTATCAGGGAAATATGCCAAGGAAATCCTGCAGCATCTGTGGCAAGTGCAAAGCCAGGCTTTTACACTTTCTCCTGTCCCTTCTCCATGGTCAGCCATGGTTCTTTCAGCCCCTTCTGTCTCCAGTCCCTCCTTCCGTTACAACTGTGGGGCGAGGAAAGGTGCAGAGGGGTGATTGCTTGGGTAGAAAAAGCAAGGCACTTGATTAAAAGCATAGACCCAGTCCTGGTCTGATATAGTACCTCTCTCCTTTTCAAAGTCTGTGTTGCTTAAGTCAAGAAATACTCCCTTGGAGGATGGGCACTATTGCCCTCTGTCACAGAGATGGAGCTGCGTGCAGAGGAGAAAATAGCAGCAGGGCCAGGAGAGGGAGGCAGCTGGGGAAGCTGGGAGGAAGATGAAAGGGAACAGAGGGAAGAGAAATACCTAGGAGAGGGAGAAGATGAGGGGAGGCAGACAGCTGAGGGGCTTCTACAGGAGCTGCTGTGTTAGAAGCATTTATGAAACTTGAGTAGTGAAGAGAAGCCAGGACTCGAGTGTTTCAAGTAATTTGCTAGCTTTGGGTGTTTGGTGTGAGTGGGTGGGGAGAGGTGTGTGCTTAAAGGGAGGACTTTGAAGCTCTAGCCCAGAGGATGTGGCTGGGGGCATGGCAAGGAGTACACTAGTGCAGGTTTGCTTACTGCATCATCTGGCTCAGCACCAAAGTTTCAGAGGGATCATCCCTGTGCAGGAAGTGTTTGCTGTCTTGATCCAGGACAGTGGGCCTGTTACGTTTGTCAGAGAACGTTGGAACCATTCTTTAATGCCTGCAGCCATCGAAGTAGATAGCTTGGTTTAAACATCCTGTTGAGGGGGCTGGAGAGCTGGCTCAGCAGTTAAGAACACTGACTGTTCTTGCAGAAGACCCAGGTTCGAATCCCAGCACCCAACATGGCAGCTAACAACTGTCTATAACTCCAGTTCCAGGGGATCCAACAGCCTCTTCTGTCCTCTACCGGCATTCATTGTACAATATGAGCGCACTTACCTACGTGCAGGCAATACTCGCATATGCATAAAATAAAACTAGTAAATGAAGTATTAAACATCCCATTGAATTTGGAGAAGGCAGCATATTATTAAACCTCTCTGCCTCACAAAGCCTCAAGTTGTTTGCTCCAAGAGTTGTGTAACTTCGTTCTAGGCAACTAACATAGAGCTTTTTATGCTTGCTTAAGGCTGCAGGCCGGGAGGAGAGTTGGCTATCCACTTAGCAGGTCTGGATCAGCAGTCTAAAACACTAAATAAAAGCTTGCAGAAGGATAACCCTCTGGAGGCTGATGCTGAAGGATCTGGAGTTTGAGGCCAGCCTGGGTTAATAACTAGTTCAAGACCAGCCAGAGATACATAGCAAGATACTGTTCCATAGAAATAAGGCTGGGGGTGTATGTAATTCAGGGATAGGGTACTTGCTTAGCCTGAGTTAGGTCACCGAACAGTTAAGACTCTTATTTTAAAATATTTTGTTTATTATTTTTATTTTATGTGTATGAGTGTTATGCCTGCATGTAGGTAAGTGCACATGTGTTGTGCAGTGTCCTTGGAGAACAGAAGAGGCTGTGGGATCCCCTGGAACTGGAGTTACAGACAGTTGTTAGCTGCCATGTGGGTGCTGGGAATCGAACCCGGGTCTTCTGCAAGAACAGTCAGTGTTCTTAACCGCTGAGACATCTCTCCAGCCCACAAGTTAAGACTCTTAATGCTCCTCCTGGGTTCTGAGAATCTTTTTAACCATCTTGCCTCGACCTGGTGAAAGGGGTCCACAGGGTCATGCACCTGTTTCCCTTTTTACAATATACGAGTTGGTTTAATTTCCTGCAAAAGATGCTGTTTCCAAATGAACCAGATGCAATGTCAGCTCTGACTTCACTCTTAAAAATGCTACTGCTTATAGAACTCCACATTGTGACAGGCCTTGGTTTCCACCATCTCGGAGGGACAGGAGAGCCAAGTGACAAGGTTTTTACAGAAATGATACAGTCAGTGGAACCATCCCCAGCAACTTTCACTGTACTTAGAAGGAGATCAATTGTATCTACTGTTTTCTGGTAGAGGGTTAGCTTGAGCATTTGCAAACTTACTTTGCTGGATCTTTCCTATGTTATCACTAGGATTCCCCATGAGCATGATTCTAATTACTTTTGGACATTTGCAGAGACAGCCATTCTCTGTTTTAGTGGTAG